AAAATCAATGAGATAAATAATAAAAAGTGTAATAAATTTTCAAAATGTTCGCGTGAATTATCATGATTATACGAATGATGAGTATATCGGAATAATGGTGCCAAGTATATTAATCATCGTTCTAGTTTTCGCGTTCGTCCTTGTGCAATTTAGGCGAACTTGCTACCATTTAATCACTTAGGAAGCACAATTTTTCTTTTGCATCGGCGGAGCAGCTGCAACGTTACAATCTCGTAGTCATCTATGATATCATAATTTATCTCAATCTCGAGAATATGGTATTGTCTTTAAAGAAATTGGAAGTTTTATCGAACAGCTGGCGTTCTAAATAATGTAGCTGATAATGAAACCGTAGATTAAACATGAATCACATAAATGAGGTCATTACTTTTGATTTTTCAACCTTGCAATTGTATGGATTATAATATTGATAACCTCTATTTTTTTATCATGTAACTATTATATTTTTAAAAAATCGCGTATTTAGAAAAGAATATTTTTTGAATATACAAGAAAATATGCAAAAGTTTGTAATTGTCCCAATTCAAAAGACATATGACACATGTTACTATTATAATAACGGACACATATCTCATTTTCAACGATTCGCTTTTATCTCTTATATGTCAGTTACATATTATACTTATAAGTTGTTTTATCACGTATTTGTCCCAAACATACACAAGTGCACTTTACATTATATAATATCTCGGTAGTTGCAAGTGCACTGTATAATGCAGGTTGTGTAATCACAAAGACACAAAGGCGAAGAATATGAAATGCATAAAAATAGAAGTTAGTCAACAGCAAAAAAAAAAAGAAGGCCAATACGCTAAACATCTTACGGAACAAACCAGTATTTGCGTTTACATTGCGTAAAAAGTTAGGCAAAGTGCTCAACGAACGAGAAATATATCTGCTCGTTTAGTTAAAACGACTTTTATTGCAGCTCTTTTGTTATCTGGACGCATATCAAAATCTTTGTATACGCGCTTTTCAGTAGCCATTTATTTCTTAATGCGCAAGATTTCTATAATCTCAGATATATTTAATGATAATATAAAATATACATGTTTAAAAAAAATTTAATTATTTAAAAATGGACATACTGATTAAGTCAGCGCATTTATTATTCGTTTTATACGAAATAAAAAAAATTATACATAATACCGAATGGACGAGCACAAAATATGTCTAAAAACTTTTACTGCAATTTTGTCGCGTGTCGAAAAATTTATGTACGCGATTTAATTCTTTAATCATCGGACGTCTTTATCGATTGTATAAAGTAGACGATTTAATAGCACGATCAATGAAAAAAAAAAAAATGGGATAAATATTTTAATAACATAAGTGAATTTGTGGTATAGTTTTTTTCACGAGCTGATAGCAGACTGTCTGCTCGAACCTATGGATAATATAATCACATAACAAGCAGACTGGCCACAATTTACTTTTTGACGTGATTTGCTTTTCCGACACTGTAATAGTGGTAAAGTTCCGCCCACTAAGGGAGCAAGAGAGATAGAGATAGAGAGAGAGAGAGAGAGAGAAAGAGGAAGAGAGCGGGAGAGACCACGTTATCGAATCAAATTTGCAGTAGCTAATTATGGTACGATATAATCCGTTAATGAAGCTATACGTTAACTCGACGTAGAACGGACTATCGAAGCATTATTTATAACAAACGCTGACAAATCCCTCGCCGAAAGCGCTTAACATTTGATCGAGTATTTTCCAACATTGTTTGAAAATTATATCTAGTTGCCTGACATGTGACATTATCATTTTGTATATTATTTATAACGCGTGGTATAATTCCGAATTCATACATTTTTAAATGTTCAAGATATACGCGATAGTATAGTCATTTTGGTGCGAAAAGTGCAAATAATAATTTTGAGATAATTGAGATTTTAAGGAAAAAATTTGGAAATAAAATATGGAAATGCATATTACGAGCACAAAAAAAAAGTATTAAAATGACAAAAAAATATACATTACAAAAATTTAATACAGTATACTCGATGAAAACTTTTGCTCGTAGATTAATTTTTAATTTACATTTTCGCCTACATGGTCATATCAACAATGTATTACCCATTAAATGGCGAATATCTCTCTGCACGATCGTTGCAATTTAAAATACATATTTATTTAAAATTTATGAATAAGAGTTATTATCGAGCTTTTGTACATTTTACAATATACTGTAAATGCATATAGCTTAGATCTCTCTCTGAGGATATAATTAACATATTCCTCACCGAGAAAATGTACAGTTAGCTGTACACAGAAAATTTTTCTTCATTTTATAACCGTACAGTAGAATTGAGAGTGTACACAAATATCTCTGCAGGAAAATATCATCGAAAAATTTCTTTAAAAAGTTCGCTAAACGAGAACTAACCGTTTCTTACTTTACAATTCTAGAAGCATGTTAAGCATAATATAATTGAGGCTTTAATTTGTGTACTTCTAAAAATAGCATTTAGCTTCAAGCAATTCGTGATCAGAATATATGAATATACTAGAGCAACTATAAAAAAAGCAAGAAATATATATAAATTTATCTTTTAATATTAAATTAACTATTTGCCATTGTTCGTTTTTAACTAGTTTACATTGTAGAAGTACAGTTACGTGACTGACAGTGAAATTTATATGGTGCAAAATATGATCATGATCTCTTTTACAAACGATTTTTATTCCGCGATTGTTTTCTCCTTGAAGTCAACGCGTCGCGAAAGCAAGACGATGAAAAACGTAGCCGTGTCGCGTCGCCGGTCATTCATCGTACTCTTGGAATTTGTGTCAATCGTGTGCAATCCGGACGATCTGAAGGATCTAAGCGTGCGGGGGAAGAACTCGTGCAATGTGCCGTGAGTTACGTCATTCCGCGCATTTGTCTCGTCATTCCGTGACATCACGGTACCACGTGCTCCGTGAATATCTCCCGCCGTCATTATTCAATATATATCGTTCACGTGTGAGTTATTGCACGATGAACACACATACTTGGTCCCTTTCGCTGGTTCACGAAATTAATCCCCTTCCCAAGTCAATGTCAAGGTGATCGGTCGTTTAAATCTCATCATCGGTCATGTAGATCGACGTATTTATATTTTATAGTGATATAGCTAGCTCGTGACTTTCATCGTAAATATCCGAATATTTGGCTTTACATGTCGACACACATTTAGGCAGCGTTAATATAACATCTTATTAATTTCACGAACTCGATTCATATAATAATAAAACAAGATATTTACGTTCTTTATTTTTCTAAATAAAAAAATCACATAGATTTGAAAGAATTATATATCCGAGCTTTTTCTTTATTTCATAATTGAATCAAATATATTCAATGCTAATTTTGCTACATATTGTAAATTTGAAAAAAATGTACGATAGAATAAACAAATTTGAAGAATATCAATGTGATTTGTTAATGTCCCTCACAGATATAATCTCGTATCAATATTAAATTAGGTCTTATCATCTTCGATGATAAGGATTTCCACTTTTGTGGAAATTCCGTTTTAGAGATTGACGTTTTATTGATAAAGATTGACATGTACATTTGCTAAATAAACACAAGATGCGTGCTCAAAATTATTTTAGTGATTACTTATAATAAGCACTCGTTTTCACATCATTGATGCATTAAATATAACGATAAATTTTTAATGACTTTCATTGACCGCAACTTGACATGTAGTGGACTCAATTGAATTCAATAAACATCAATTAATCTACCGATTTGTTGCTTTGTCATGTTGTCACTACACATGTCATTGCACGCACGCGAATAGTTCAATACGTATTAATATGCATATATATACAAAACACACACACACATAGAGGATCTTTCATCTCTTGAATTAACAAATTGCTATCTACGAGTGAACAATAGAACGCACGCCAATTTTTATTTCACTCAAATGATCTTTATAAGATATACCACATACAAGCGCCGTCTTTTTAAACGTTTAACAATAAGTTGAGAATATTACCTAATATGATTTCGCAGAAATATAATATTGCGTTGTCATTTTTAACGGTGAATACAAGCTTTCAATTTAATGATATAATTAATATCGAGAAAAATTAAATATGAAATATTGGTTGAAAAAATCAAGATGAAACCACAAATATATCGACTTTTGTTAATTTATCAGATAATATGCCTGATAACAGAAGTTTGCGCGGTATGAGAAAACAAAATACTTCAATTTAATCTGACTAGCATTAACGTCTAACGATAGAAACGATAAAAATAGACCGAATTAATCTTGCAAAGATCCAACGATTTTTATTTAATCCCACCAGTCTCCTAGTTATCTGAGCAAATCGAGTAGATGGCTTAAAAGAGATCTAACTTACGTCATTATCTGAAGTAATGAAATGTAACATTGATATTTAGATGTAAAGTTTTAAGAAATTCACATTCCAGTTTATTTCTCCTAATATTCATTATATGCTACAAGCTAAAAGCAACATTTTTACTTCGTATTCTGCACTAAATGTAAGATGAATAAAATAGTCATGGGAATAAAAGTGCGGCAAACGTTCTCGGCAGATGGCAAAAATAAAAATATCTGCTTTGAAGCAGAAAACACTCTAACGCAAAGACGAAGCGATAAAAAAATCAGAGGTTATAGCTTGTATTAAATTTCATTAAAACTCAGACCGTGTCTTAAACGAGGGGGATTGCGCCGTTAGCGCAATATGTCGTGCACGATGGCGCGTATTGCATGCTCTAACGAGAGTTAGAATTTATTGTGGAATGTATTGAGCGTTTTGTCAAAGGAAAGCGCGTCTTAAGGGAATATTCGCAACGTTATGCATCATCAGGTTGTCGAAATCGAACGATTTTGCTCACGTAGAGAACAAGCGACCAGGAATGATCGCAAGCAGAATGTTGGAGGGGCACACCATCACATATGGGGGGGAAAATATTTTAGTGAGAGAGGGAGACTCTCTTACAGGATTTATATATACTAGTGATCCGGCACCGGTCTTTGCGAGTCGCAACGTACGCAATCGGCCGAACAGGTCGATTTTAACGCGGTGAACGTCGTGATTTCGTCACGTTTTCGTCACGTTTTCCAAGGAAAAAACAACAATCTTTTACAGAGAAGAATCGTTGCGGATGCATCGATTGTTTCCAACATAATCGGTGCTTCTGATGTAATGGTGAGCTCTATTTTCCGCACGAGAAGGTCGTCGCGACAGTTGACTGTGACGAACTAGACGAGTTTGTTCCAAGCTATGTTGTCGAGATTGTGAATAAAAGTAGAAACACGCTATTATCATTACGTAAACTCGTGTTTTTATCGTGTCAGTCCACGTTGCAGATAATATTAATAAGATTGCCATTGAGATAGTGAATTCTTATTCAACAACTTTGAATTTTACATATTTCTTGAGAAATTGTTTTGCATTGAAAAATGATCGTCACCATCTGTGAATCTATAATCATATGTTTTAAGCGATTTCATCAATTTTGATGAAATTGTTATAAAGCTGTGACTTTTGTGAAAAATATGTGACAATTTTTCAAAAAAATGTTTGTTCTTTTAATTCTGATATATACAACAAATTAAATATATTTGCATGCAGAACAAAACCGAAATATTTCAGTAACGTAAAATATAATTATAATAAAAATTAATAAGATTTAACTTTTTCTTCTAAAGGGAAAAATATATTCACTTTAGTTTCAAATTCTTCAAGCGAGACTAGGAAACCGTATGAATCTAAGGCCGAGTATAAAGACTTCGAATACTGAATATCATGGAAATATTGAAACTCAACTGACGAAGTTTCGAATGAGGATTAAAGTCGACATTATCATTCGGTGAAATCATCGACAAGCTGGATTCATTGTCCGATGCCGAGTTTATGATTGAAAATATTTGTTCACCGGGATGATAACTTTATAATTCTAGATGTAACAGAAGTGAAAAGTCTCTCAGATGTCACGTATTTGTTCAAGTTGGATTGATTCATCGATAACGAGATAGTGGTATGTTTTTTAAATTTATTTTGTATAAGATACCGAGAAATTTTTTTTTTTTTGCGTGAACAAAATAAAGCAAATTCTTAGAATCTATATATTAAGTGAAGTTAATCTAAAGATTATAGTTTTAAAGTGTCTATACAAAATTTTTGTTGCTTGCTAATTATTATTTTTCTTTTGACATTTGTTGATACAAGACGTATTTTCTATTATATTAGTGTTAATTATGATATTACCGATTTTATGATACATCATATCAACGTTCAGTCAATTAAATGTTACTTTCAAAATTAATGATTGATACAGAGTTGATGGATGAAGCAGAGGAAAGTAAATTACACTGTCGCTCAAAAAAAAAAGTCACTTAAAGAAATATTTTTTCTGTCAACGAATGGCGTGCATATTTCAGCAGCTTTTAATAAAGAGCTTCTCGTTACAGACGATCCCGTGAAGTCTATTGCAGAGAGATTGAACGTCTCTGCATCTCGACGGTAAATTTTAACTGTCACAGTTGTGAGCAAAATTTGACAGGTGAGTGAGCGCTGCAGCGCAAACTTTTATCGATATAAATCAAGGACGGTAAAAGTTGGATTGATTCATCGATAACGAGATAGTGGTATGTTTTTTAAATTTATTTTTTATAAGATACCGAGAAATTTTTTTTTTTTGCGTGAACAAAATAAAGCAAATTCTTAGAATCTATATATTAAGTGAAGTTAATCTAAAGATTATAGTTTTAAAGTGTCTATACAAAATTTTTGTTGCTTGCTAATTATTATTTTTCTTTTGACATTTGTTGATACAAGACGTATTTTCTATTATATTAGTGTTAATTATGATATTACCGATTTTATGATACATCATATCAACGTTCAGTCAATTAAATGTTACTTTCAAAATTAATGATTGATACAGAGTTGATGGATGAAGCAGAGGAAAGTAAATTACACTGTCGCTCAAAAAAAAAAGTCACTTAAAGAAATATTTTTTCTGTCAACGAATGGCGTGCATATTTCAGCAGCTTTTAATAAAGAGCTTCTCGTTACAGACGATCCCGTGAAGTCTATTGCAGAGAGATTGAACGTCTCTGCATCTCGACGGTAAATTTTAACTGTCACAGTTGTGAGCAAAATTTGACAGGTGAGTGAGCGCTGCAGCGCAAACTTTTATCGATATAAATCAAGGACGGTAAAAACCGGTAAAACTGCATCGTAATAATCGTTTAAATCGACTGAGATAACGCCACGAGATAGATGTAACGAACGGCACGTCAGAAAAATAACGAAGGAAATAAGCCGAATAAAGTAATGAATTATCACGTTACTATCCATACTTAATCAATAGGTAATGTTGTTAATGCCGCAATCGTGAAATACGCACGTATGTGAACATACGCGCTTTTTTACTTAATTCAATACGCTAAAATGAACTTTGATTCGTCTTTCACTGGTCTCGATACGCTACATACATATATACACACACACCACCCTTATTATATATATATGTATATCGTCAATCGCATGAAGTCTCTTCCGCGTGCACGTTCATTGAAGGAACGCTAAAAGGGAGACACATCTATCATGATAAAGTACCGTTAAACGATCTCTATATGGCGGGGACGAATAGTGAGGATTTTGCGCCGCATGAATTTATGACAAAGTGATTCGTCATTTTCGTCGATTGTGCAATTCACTGGTCTCGATACGCTACATACATATATACACACACACACCACCCTTATTATATATATATATGTATATCGTCAATCGCATGAAGTCTCTTCCGCGTGCACGTTCATTGAAGGAACGCTAAAAGGGAGACACATCTATCATGATAAAGTACCGTTAAACGATCTCTATATGGCGGGGACGAATAGTGAGGATTTTGCGCCGCATGAATTTATGACAAAGTGATTCGTCATTTTCGTCGATTGTGCAATGATTTAATTTCCGTGAAACTGGCCGTGAAATCAAAATCGATCGTGAAAGAAAGGGGGGAGCAGAGAAGGCGGATGAGCCGTTTTGTATCGCACGATCGGCCACCAGCAAGCGTGTCGTTATTCGAAATCAGGGAAAACGAGGACGTTGAATGCGATTGCAAATAGGTCATGTAAGTCATTGACACAAAACATGTTTTGCACACGTGTAACAACGCGCGTCGATCATTTCTCTAAGTTGCGAAAATTTCTCGCACATCCAACAATTCCACTGCGCGTGCACAACCATTGTTTTAAATACTCTTTGCTATTGAATTTGAACAAGAATATTGAGCGAGAGAGATATTCCCGATCTGAATTGTTATAAAAAAAATTTTTAAATCAAACTTTTATATAAAATGATAGCCCAAGTTCAGAATTTAAAAATTACAGTTCCAGATGTATTCGAAATAATTATAAATTATGGGTGATTACGATATCACTTATGAATATTTTTTCTTTAAATATCTGATAAATTAATCAATTACACGATATTTACACGAATTAAACAAATTAAATTACATGCAATTAAAGAATAATATTGTACTATAATATAAACACACACACGTAAGTCTTCATTAAGAAAAATTACAATATCAATGGTTTTATATAAAAAAATTCTCGAACACAAATAATCATTCAATCGGACTTCACAATCTCTTCTCAGAATCGAATAAAACTTCCTAACATTTTATATCTCGAGTATCGCGTAATCAGCGACGGTCTTGCAATACCATTAGTAAAAAAGAGAAGAATAGAGGATTTGGCTATTATCTTCAGGAATGTATCACGTGTGAACATTTATAATTAATCATATCAATCGATCGCCGTAATCCGTTATCGCAGGTAAAATTCCAAAGTAGAATCGTTTCCACAAAACATATCTTTAATAAATATAAAAATAAAACAAGTATATCTAAGCAACATCGCAAATTGTGATTTTTCACAATCCGATATATTGACGATTTTATTTGTTTTGGTTACATCTGCATTACGTTTTGGTGTACTATTGTTGTTTTCGTATGTGGGCTTTTCGAAAATGGAATAAAATGATAAAACTTTGATGAAGCCATTTACACACTATTTCGAGAAAATTACCAAACACATTCGACAGACGTCACAGAGAAATAAATAATTTCGTATCGGTGAAAAAAAAAGGATCAATGCGTCGTGGCAGGTCGCTTAGAAAAGTATATAAATATTGGCCAGTCATGCCAGTCGAGCCAGTCGATTAATCCGTGATCGCATCGTTATTGATATTAAAACTCAATAAATTGTGAATTATTCATGAACACGCCGGATCGGGCACAACGGGCTTACGCGAGCTTTTTAACTTCTTCGTGCTAGATAGAACGGCGCTTTTATCGACGTCGCACAGAATAGCGGCAAAAAGCGCCAAACACGGGGTACGTCGCACAAATACAGTGTTAACGACGCAAGTTGTTTTCGTTGAAAATTTCACAAAATTGCCTACAGCATATCGTAAACAAAAATCCGTTATTCGCAACGGATGGAAATTTTCGCGACGAATCTACGATACGCGATGCAAAATTCGTGACCATTATCGAGGCACCTCGTTCGTACTCCATTATCGAGCAACGAAAGGAGATCGATCAAGCTATGTTATAGTCGGCCGAATCGAAAGCGACTTGAACTCTCTCGATCAGTCAAGGTAAACGGACAACGTAACTATAGTAGGAACGATAAAAATGTGATTAGCGTTCATAGCATACGTTCTTGATTAGCGTAGCATAGCACTGTGTTATTGCTGACATTGCTTCGAGCAAAGAATTTTTTTGCGGACGCATCGAATTTAGGGTATCTGATTGCACGCAATCCTTCTTTCAAAATGAATTAGAAAAAGTGAGGAGAAGAGTGCAAAAATCTTTGTGAAATTTTTTACCGAATTAAACTGAGGGATTATAATCTGATTAAAGAGTCTGTTCTTAAAAAATTAATGCGATAAAATTAAGATCGATTTGCGCTAATATTGCCATACTGTTAATGAATAATAAATAATTAATTTTTGTGAATGAATTTTTCTATTAATATCACGAGCTATCCTATTCAAGAAACATATCCATTAAGTAACACGTGTTGCATATTTTACTCGCACAATGTGCGATATCGATCAGTCACGGAACAATACCCGATCTTGTTATTAATGCACATGTGATTCACGAAGTGCTCTTCGTCAAATAAGATAATCGAGCCACGAGGAGATCTCGGCTAATCCGTACGTTTGACAGTCACACATATTAATGATTATAATATTAAAGTTATTAATACATTTAATATGTTAACAATCTGTGCAGGTTACTTTAAATTAAAGATCGACTACAAATTAATAATATTTATTAATTAAAGGTATTAATCTTGAGGCACATTGTATATCGATCAAAAGATAAAGGGATGAAACTATGATTCATGTATAAATAAGACGCTTTTAAAATCGTATATTTTATTATAAGATGCTACATTATAAAAAAAGTTAAAGTTTCATCGACAACATATCAATTAATCCCAATTAATTAATTTTAAATAGCGCGGTTGAAGAGTATGTTCTGCTAAATTAAATTGCACTTTTACAAATTTAATTTCAATCTAGAAAATTAATTGGAATTAATTTCAAATATAGCTTATATTATTCTGAGTTATTCACATTGCTTGCGTAGCGATCCAGTACGAATTTTATTTCATTCCCATTATCACGATAAATAACATTAAATAAAATTACAACGTAACGCCACGAAGTCAAAATAAACGTCAGGACGACGCGATAATTTGATCATTATAATGAAAAATATAAATGGAGTTTAATCCACGGGGCCGCTTATTGTTTGAGAATATCGGACACTCGACTGCACGAATTAGCAATTCGGCGGAATGGGATAAACAAATGGCGTAATTAAATATTCACTCTCGTCCCACTGATTTGTAAATTCGACCGGATTTCGTTCCGCCAACAACATACGACGACACCATTTTTATTTATTTACGCGATGACACGTTATCGGCCATGAGCGGAAATTGCATATTGCCTATATCTCACACGCGCGCTCGCGATATGTATATTATATCTCGCATTATATTGAATTTTACAGCACGGTTTCATCGCGCGAGAACGAGGATATATTTATTTGAACGCGAGCGCCGCAATTAATTCGATTATCTACTTACGCGTTATGTATGTGCGCTCTGGTTATTAACTGATATAATTTGTACGCCAGGAATTTATACTTTACACTTTGCAATTTTGCCAACTAAAGCGATAATCTCACTTAGCAACACATTTCGCGAGCACCGTATGTACAGATCGCTAAATTTCGCAAGTGTATTTTTTCAAGATCGATATGTTTCCTGAATAAAAGTGTCGAAAATGTCAATAATATTTGAATTTTATATAAATAATCAAAAGACTTTTCAGAAATATTTGCTAAGAAAAACCTTCTAAAAAAATACAATGTTTAATGATTTGCTTTATAAACGCGCTGTCATAATATTACTAGTTTATCATTTTCTATGCGTATATTTTATCGATTATGTTTTAACATGA